AAGTTTTCCCTCTCTCTCAATTCCATCTTCCCACATTCTTGCTCTGCTTCCAGTCTCCTCCTGGTGACAAGATGGCTGTGGTGGCAGCTTCAGACCTAATGATGTCTGCATCATCATCCACTCTAACGTGTCTCGTGGGATCTCACCAGCTCTGATTTGCTCCCATGCTGATCCCTAGACCCGTCACGAGGGCCTTGGGAATGCAGTGTGCTGGGTGGCTTAAGCCTAGATCATGTAAATATGCTCCAGTCCTACAGCCCAAGAATCTGTGCTTTTATCAAGCTATGCAGATTTTTCTAGTGTAAAGTCTGAGAACCATTGGTCTAGGGTCTGGCCACATTAGTAGCTACCCAAGGGAGTTGAGGTGGGAAACACAGAGAGCATGTTGTCTGAGACATCTATGGAACGTGGAGTTACTTAAGACTGTGTCAGGACTTGGGTGGAGTAGCAGGCATTGAAAGATTGTCAGCCAGAGGTCCTGCCTATCAAAGAGTAACTGACTTAACGAGACTCAAAGATGCTTTGAGACTTTGGTTCCCTCAGTTAGATCTATCTGATTCAAAGTTGTAGACCTGGGAAATTTCAGCTTGGAAAAGACCTTAAGCATCCTTTAATCCAAACCCAATCACCATTTGATCCCCTAGCCTCCTGGACATCATCTCTTGCCAGCTGGTCACCCAGCTACTGCATAAACACTTCCCCTGATGGAGCAGTCTGCACTCACCAAAGCAGCCAACTATAGTCGAATGCTCCAGATGCTTAAAATTTCTTAATCTATTAGGCAAGAGTTATCTCTTTCTAAATCCCTTCCAACAGTCCTGGTTGTATCTCTTGGAATGATATAGGACATTTTTATTCCTTGTTCCAAAAAGTAGCCCCTTGCATATGGTATCTGAAGACATGGAACACCCCCTCTGTTTCCTCTGGGCTCCAGAATAAATAGCCCTGGCTCTGTCAGTCCTACCTCAGCTGCCCTGGACTCTCTTGGCTGCTCTCCCTCCTGAGGGTGCTCTAGTTGGTCTGTGTCCCTCCCTCTTCAAGTACGATGATTAGAACACAACAGTCCAATAATGATCTGATGAGAGAAGAACAGAACTATTGTTTCATTCTAGAAACTACATTTCTATACCATGTCTTAGCATTGCTCTCACTTTATAGAATCACTTCTCAGCGTTTACTCGCTATGGGCTTCCTCCTGATTTCTCCCATCCTGGCCTCCTGCCGCAGCTAAGCTGCATCTCTCCCGTTCTATACCCTGTGGAGTTTGTTTTGTGAACCCAAGTTTATGACTTTAGGGATAATAAGTGAATTCCAAGCAGGATGAATGAACTAAACAATTCTATTTGCTGCTGCCTACTCATTAACAATTTTATTCTTTAAAATAACATCTCAGGACTTAAAATACAAAATTCAGCCAACCTCAAGCACCTACCATGTATCAATACTGAAAACATGAAGATAAATAAGGGGAGGAAATTATTTGCTTTTGGTGGGGCTCATGTTTAGGCCGAGGCACTAGAACTCAGCCACCACCCCTAGCAGCAGGTGGCAGGGGCCACAATAATGGTATGCAGAAGCTGTCCCCCCTCTCGGCCTAGGGACTTCGGGGTCTTACCCACAAGCTGACATGGGAGTGGGTTTGGAAGGACGTGATTTCCTCAGTCAGCAAAGGAGAAGCCAGGAATTCCAGGCAGCAGGAGCAGCATGTAAAAGTCTGGAAGCCTAACATGGCACATGTTCTGGAACAGGGGCTGTCCTATGTGGTGGGAATCTACAGAGAGAGTGGTGGGGAGTGAGCCTGGAAAGTTAGGTTCCAGTTGGACTGGGAGGCAAGGCTATACTGAGTCTGAATTTTATCCTGCAGTCTCTGGAAAGAGAGTAAAGATCCTGGAAGAGGACTTGACAAGTGGAGACAGTGGGAGCAAGGAGACCAGATAAGAGATAAGTGTAGTTAACTGAGGAGTGCTATCTAGAATATCTATCAATTTCTTACAGGTTGATAAGGAAAAGCCAGAGTAGGAAAACAGGAAAAGATACGAAGAGACAATTTGTAGACTGGAAAACACGAATGGCTACTAAATATATGTAAATCTCCTTAGCAATCAAGGAAATTAAAATTAAGACCAAAATGTGTTGTCTTTTCACAACCACCGGATTGAAAAGGGTCTGACAATACCAAGCATACGTGAAATACTCACAGGCTGACAGTGAGAGTATAAGTTATTGGCCTGCTTTGGAAAGCAACTTGTCAACATCTAATAAACCTGCGATGAGCACACCATTGTATCCAGACCTCCACTTTTCAGTATCAGCCCCAAGGAAACTCTCGTGGGCTCACAGAGACACATACAAAGATGTTCATTACAGCACTGTTTGTAAGAAAAAACAAAAAAACACCAAAACAATGGTTGTTTGGGCTGAACTGTGTCTCCCACCCACAAGGTCCATATGTTGAAGTCCTAACTGTATTTGGAGATGGGTCCTTAAAAAGATAATTAAGTTAGAATGAGGTCAGTTGGGTGGGTCGTGATCCAATATGACTGGTGTCCTTATAAGGGAAGGTAAGGACACAAAGAGAGGAAAGGCCCTGTGAAGACACAGGAAGACGGCCATGTGCAAACCAAGGAGAGAGGCCTCAGAAAATAAAACAGCACTGCCAGCACCTTGATCTTAAACTTCTAGCCTCCGAACTGCAAGAAAATAAATTTCTACTATTTAAGCCACCTAGTCTATGATACTTTGTTATGGAAGCCCTAGAGAACTAAACAACAGACTTCATTGGGGGCATGAAATTCAAATTAATTCCATGAAAATAAACCAGATCTACATGTATCAACATGGTGACAGCTTAATAATCTGTGTTGAACGAAAAAACAAGTTGCAAAAAGTATATTCAAGTATGAGACCAATCATGTAACATGGCTGGGAATGACAGAGCAATTTCAGGATAGAAGTAACTGTGGGGAGGGGAAGGATGGGGCTAGGATGACAGAGAGGTAGAAAGGGGCTTCATTTGTAAGGTTTTATATATATAATGTATCAGTATATATATATATAAAATGTAACTACGTATAATGTATCCAATGTGATTAAATATAATGCATATGATGTGATTATATGTAATGTATCACATGTATATAGTGTAATCACATATAATGTATTATATGTCTCCATGTATGTAACGTGTATCATTATATGTGTATATATAATGTATATGTATATAATGATAGAATGTAAACATTTGTTAAATTATGGCAGTAGGCATATGATATGTTTTTCTCTTTATTTTATAATTTAAAATATTTCCATAATTAAAAAACTCGTTTGTAGAGGCGATTCCAAGAGTCTGGGAGAGAAGTGATGAAGACCTGAACTAAGGCAACACCTCGGGGAGAAGCTCACTGATCTCACACTTGGCGGGATTATTTCTTTGTCTGCTCTTGTTCCGTATTCCTTTTTCTTCCAGGCCATAGTGCAGTTCTCCTGTTCCAAAATGGCTGTACAGGCAGCTTTCTTCCCAGTGTGAGTCCCAGGAGCTGCGGTGGCCTGAGACTTGGTTCATGTTCTCCTTTTAAGTTCTTTCAGCTCAGAAAAATGGAAACCTCTTACAGGTGGACTTCTAACTAAAGCCTTTGCCCAGGTGGCCCTGCCTTTAATAATAACATAGCATCTCCAGATCATGGTCTCGGGGTTGAGTTCTTAGGGATCAAGACACGTACACATACATTTTGCCCAAAATGGCCATGGTCCAAGGCCCAGTGACAGACATGAAAGGGCCCGGGTGTATTTCTGTTCCAGCGCAGCTTCTCACCAGATCCCTTTCCCTGGGTGAGTTGTCTACCCGCAAGGCTGCTTCCCCTTCAGCGAAGCCAGAGCTTTGGACTAGACCTCATCCATCCTCTGCCCCTCCTATCCTAACGGTGGTGGGAGCGCAGGTCTCATGCAGGCCTGGCAGCCACCACATCACACTAGGCCCTCCCGCCCCCTCAGCAGAGCTGCCTGTAAAGTTGGTAAATACTATTTATCTTGTCCTGAAGAGGCAGGTGTGATGCTTACTTTTGAATCTTAGCATATCAATCAACACCTCCAACGGAGGCATTGTGAGATGCACAGCCAGGAAATCAACCCAGTTTTACTCGTTGTGGCTACAAAGACTGTGCAATTTACTTGCAAAGCAAAGCAAAGCAAAGCGCTCCAGCTCAATGTGGATCTGTATTTGGTTCCAGTTTGAACGTTTTTATGGCTAAAATCCCAATCCAGCAGAGTCCGGCACCGTGGGCTCTGTTACTGAGGCTAAAGCGGGGTATGTTGGAGGTAATCAACTAACCAACCAATCAATAAGAAACAGAGGAGGCAGGAGGTGCAGGGATCCCCAGTCAGGGACCCAGTGGAGGGATGGACCTTAGAAGGGTGGACCACTCATGTGCAGTAACAGAAGGCCAGGCCGAGAGCTGGAGCACGGATGCAGGTGGGCAGGGAGATGCAGTGGGATCAGGGAAGAGCTCCTCCTCCCGTGATTTCTGCGTTCACAGTACAAGAAGAAGTGAGGTCATCAGCCGAGTGTGAGAGGATGGGGATGGCGATGTTAGCAGTGGGAGGAGTGGGGAGAAGCTATGAAATATTTATACAGGAGATTGGAAACAGAATGGACCAGGGAAATGTCTAATCCTTCCTGTGCCGTGAGAAACTGTTTCGTGTGCCCTTGCTGGGATACAAGGGAGAATTTTGTATCCATTCATACATTCATTTGGCAAAATGTGAGTGAGTGCTCTGGGCTAGCACCCTGCTAGGGAGTGACAGACAGAGAAGCCATTCAGTAGGGCCACCATATCTCGCTGATAGCCCAGGATATCCCTGAGACAAAGACTTGAATGCAAATAGTTTATTTGGGAGGTGAAGGTAGTGGGGTGGGGAAATGACACAGGAAGGGAAAAAGTCAATCCAGGGTCTATTCATGAGCAAGTTACCACTGGGGGCTGCTGGGAGACTGTGTAAAACACGTCTTGGAGTTGCCCCAGCGGAGGAAACTGGGTATACACGCACACACCAACTCCTGTCCATCACTGGCTGTGGGTTCCCCCTGGGTTGTGGGTCAACTCTGGCCTCTCTAGCCTGCTCCAATGAAAGCAGCAGGCCTCAGGCTGGCAGGAAGAACATGTCCACATGTATAGGAATAGTGAATGTCAAGGAAATATGAGCAGGCGTCAGCAACATCTATACCACTCTTGGAAGCATCTTGGTTTAGGTGAAAGATTGTATGTCACCTTTAGTAGAAGACACAGTCCTTCCTTTCAAAGAATGAATTTACTGAAGGAGACTAAGAAAAGGCTCAAAACTCAAAGAAACAAAAAAAAAAAAGAAAAATCTAAACAAAGAAACAAAAGGCATAGGCTAAATACCAAGTGAGTCTAGTTTTCCAGGGGTCAGAAGAGGAAGAGGTCTCCCGGCCTGAGACGGGAGGCTTCACAGGGGAGGTGGGGGCCCAGCTAGGTGGCTAGTGGACGAGTAGGGAAGCAACAGCGGGCCTGGGGAGACCTGCTTAAGGGGAGAGGGATATTCTGCCCTCGTGGCCAAAGTTGACACAAAGACAGGTGGCTGCTCCTGACTTGGGGACCCCAAGGTATGGCCGAGAAAGACTAATGATCGTCCAGAGCCACTCTGGCCACCTACGTCCTGCAGGTGCAACATTGTCTTGATTTGCAGCCGAGGCTGCTGTTTGGGAAGCAGTCACGGTTCAGAGGCTGCTTCTGGGAAGCGTAAAACAAAGGAGATTCTCACGGATTGTTATAAAGCAGTCTCAGAAATATCTCTCTGATTTCCAACCTTCCTGCACAGGGCAGCTGCTGAAGACACAGCCATGATTCACCACAACAAACAACCCCCACATCTTCCTTCCTGCAACACCACCAAAGTTTGGAAAGTTTGGACTGTGGTTCATCCTCCCCTGGTCCCCATGCTCAGAGGAGAGGGGGTGGCTGAACCCTTGGATTACTTCTTCTGATGAGGATAAATTAATTAGTACAAAATCACACAGTCACAGACATCCACTTGGGTTTGGATGTTCTAATGAGGGTGATGACTGTATGATGCTGAGTCCAGCCAGCATGGCTCTTGGGCCTGACTGCTGTTCCCTCAGGATCCGTGGTGCCCCCTCCATTCTTAAGCACCTCTGTCTCTCATCCTCACAGTGGGAGTTACAAACTCTTGCTCTGTTCCCACCATCAGCCTCACTGTCCAAGCCCTCTTCGCATAATTAACAAGGGAACCAGGAACCTACATCCCTCCTTTCAAACCCATCTTCCAGCCCCTTGGCTGACAAACTGATCGTCCTCAAACACAGCTGTGTTCATTTTGCCCACAGCCCTCAGGAATATTAATAGTTCTTCAGGACACATAGGATAAAATCTACATTTGAATGGAAGGCCCCCATCAACCACCTCCAGCCCCCTGCTTTCCATCATCTCAGCTCCTTACTCCCCATCAAGGCTTATCTGCATTAGCCAAATTCCTCAACCCGTTATCCCTGCAGCCTCGCCAGTTCTGGTGCAGACTGCCATTTTTCCACTCTCCTCGCTTTAAAGAAGATCGTCCTCTCCTCAGAGAATCCATTCCCCTGGCTGAAACAAAAGAGACGGCAACTGCCAACCTTCCCAAAGACCAAGTACCGCTGTGTAATGAGTGATCAGTGTGTCCTTTGGGTCAAGCATGTAAAAGCCTCTAGGGAGCTTGCCACTGAAAAAGTCTCTCCTGTGAGGATGAGTGGGTCGTGGAACAGACTAGAGAGACAACAGGTCTGTCTGCCCACCACAAGACCATTTCCACACCACGCTCTCCAGGCACAGTTAAAAGCACAGCACTGCCCCTCCCTGCAGCTACCCTTGTAGGCTTGTTGTCTGAGTTCACCTATCTTTGTTTTCTTAGGAGAAAAAACTAGAGTCTAAGTTTCAATCAAGACACACTGGTGTGACAACCAATTCACAATTACTGCTTCTTGGTTTTTGCAAGAGATTAAGGTTTTTAAGGGTTAAAACTATAATGCATGTCATTAAAGCTACTAAAATAATAAGGGGAACATCTTGGAATACAGTAGAAAAGTAAAATGTGTATTTTGAGTGAAAAAAAGGTATAAGGAATGGAATTACGTTTTGAGTGAGATGAAGGTTGGTTTGTTCTATAGCTGCTTTTCTGGATGGAAAAAAATAGGAGACAAACTAATATGGATACAGAATGTGATAGAAGATTTGTGGAAAAGGATCCCTAAAAAAAAAAAGCTTTGTACATGATCAGGATTTGTTAAATTTAGATTATTTTAAATAAGTAAATGGATTTGGTTGTTAAAGAAAACTAGTGCAGAACTGGAATTTGATTCTCTCTTTCTCTATTAAAAGGACAAAGTTTTCTTAAAATGTTAATCTGCTTTTGGTAACAAAAGATCTCAAGTGATCTGTATTTGCCTTTGAAATATTTTATTGTTATTTTGGTTTAATAAGTAAGTGTTGTTTCACAGGCACCTATGATTTTATCTGACCAAGTGCTTAAAAACTTTTTAACAAGCTTCCCAAATATCAAATTTTAATCAAAGTTCTTTTGACCCCCTCTACCCTTGAGATGCTTCAGAGGGCCCCTGAAACATCCCAACAAGAAATACTAAACTAATTAGGTTCATCTGATATCTTAAATTACATAAAAAGTATTATCAAATAAATAATACATCTTCTTAGGTTATACTGCATGGGTAAATTTTATTAATATATTCTAAAAACTATTTTAAAATTCCTAAAGATCTGGTATGTCTTAATAAAATGTTATCAGTTGTAATTCTAGTTATTATCTAAAAATATTGTATGTCACAGCAGTAACAAAGTTTCTTGTCAACTGCTTTGTAATCAGATGTTCAACTGTACCTTTACATTTATAGACAGTTATTGTACTCTGATGCTGTTATAAAAGTACTTCAAGAAGATTCATGGGAAGGCTATGGAAGCAATGGGTAAAAATCGTGTATACCACCATCTCATCTAAACTGAAGGCATTAAATACTATTCTATACTAACAGACTTTTGTACTCACATTGTGTTCATAACTTATCTCTTCCATGGGTCTAAATGGCTGCTTCCTTGTTAAATTCATCTGCTGTAAGATCTCTTATTACACATTCAGGATGTATCTGGGTATGGGTCACTCCCAAAATAAGGACCCAAAGACAAGATCACCCCAGGGAAAACCCCAGGGAAAACTGGGCCCCTATATGAGTGCTTATCTTTATATAGATAATGTGTGACATGAGGGAGCCTGTACATTAGGACATTTGGTCTCATTTACAGTTGACAGTCATAATCCTGCCCTTCCTCCTGTTTCTCTTCAATCTCTTGGTAAAGTTTGTCTTCCAGGTTGCAACAGTTTCACATCAAGATGATGATACGACAAGGATTCCAACCCATCCCACCCGAAGATGAAGACCATAAACACCCACTGGACAAGGTCTCTGCCTTCCTTCCACTCCCCACTCTCCAACCCTGCCACTACAATCCACTGCGCTGGAATTGCCCATTGTCTTGTAGGTGTGCCTGGCTGTGTCCTCCACTTGAGCAGCCCTAGGAGGGTGGGGACCCTGGGTCATGTCTTTGTGTCCCCCTCACAGAGCCTGAGCTGTGCTGGCAGGATCGTGGAAGGCAGTAGGTGGAAGTCTGCTGACAAAACGATGGGAAAAGGTAGATTTCCAGCCCCACCCTTGGGCCCTGAGCAGAGCTGTCATCATGGGCCAGTCCCTCTGGGGCAGGAGCCAACCCCCTCACTGCCTACAGCTCTGAGGCCAGGGCTTCCCTCAGGAATCTCAGACTCCTAAAAATGTCAGAGCTGGAAGGGCCCTGGAGGCCACTTCATTCAGTCTCCTTGGTTTTGAGGTGAGGGACCTGAACCCTGGGGAGGAAAACATTTTGTCCAGGTGAGAGAGATAGGAGGGCCCCCAGGTCCCAGTGTCTGGACTAGGGCCCTTTCCACTCATCCTTACCACACAGGGGCCTCCTCAAGCCTCCATGCCCCTCTAAGACTGTAGGAGCCTCCACTGCGCAGGTGGGCTCAAGTTCACATCACCTTAGGGCACAGCAGGTAGTTAGTAAATACTATCTGTTGAATGAATGAATAATCTCCAGAATTAAAGTATCACATCCCCCAGACTTTTGGGAGAAGTCACTTTGCCTCTCACCTGAGGCCTGAGACCTGTGTTCTGGGTGTCTGGCTGGACCCACGAGCTGGTGTAATTGCTGTGGGGGGCCTCAGCAGCCTCCATGCAGCTCATGCATCCCCCTCCCACACCCTGAATCACCTGTGGACCCACAGAGAGCACCACCATTCAGTTGTTTCAACTGAAACAGCACTTACGTCATCTTCCTATTGTGTACAGGAACAGGGCAGCAGAGCGGGGTCTCTCTGCATGAGATGGAGAGCCCCATCCTGAGCATCCCTGTTCTGGACAAAAGGACTAACTCTGCTTTACCATCCTCTCATGTACATGTGCCAAAGGAGTGCCTCGAGTTGCCACACCCAGTTTATCCACCCAAACCACCACACGTTCAAGAAGTTGTGGAACAGGGCTCCAGTTCCATGCCACCAGAGCTAACCATAACCCAGAAGAGGATGAAGCACTTTACCAGGTTTTGCTGGCCTAGCTCCTTTACTCTCCTGGGAAGATCCTCATAGGACCCCAAGTGTCAGGGGTATCTGCCTCCCTCTGGTGCTCTGGTGTGATGGAGACTCTCCGGGTACCAAATAGGTCCCAGCTGAAGGTGAGTCTCTCTATGCAGCCCTTAGGGAGAGCCTGCCTGAGATTCTAGAGAAACCAGGCATCAGCCCTCCCCTGGGGTCCTGCTCTAGGAGCCACAGACCAAGGTCATTTCTGCCAACTTGTCTACAACCTCGCTTAACAGAACTCACAGCATCATTATGTAACTTTGAAAAATAAAATCAGTGTTGATTAATAAAAGTGGTTTTCCAAAGCTGTACTGACATGTGCTCAATTTCAAATCCATTTCCCTTGTTTAACAGACTGAGAAGGTTTGAAGGATGACTCTCAGTCAGGATGCTTTGTCATGGGCCCCAGAGGAACTCACCTCTCCTGGGTACCCAGTGGCCAGCATGGAGGAGGAGAGGCAGATATCTGTTTTCCCCAGCACAATCTAGATGGCACAAACCCTGCACACTGATATCAACCCCATGGTGAGGTAGGAGAACTCTTGAGACCGTCCAGCTGTAAGTCCCACCCGGGAACAGCCAGCCCCATCCCACAGACCCTTTAGGAGGACTTATGTTAAAAGAAACATGGTAAAACTATAGTAAAAAAAAAAAAATTATTGTAAGCTGGAGTCTAAATTCCAAAGCTCTGGTCTCAATTTTCATACTAACTTGCTATGTGTACTTGGGCAAATAGTTTCAACATTCTGCACTTTACTTTCTTCATCTATGTAATGAGATGACTGAGTTAGATTAGTGGTTCTCAACAGGAGCCTGATCTCCCATCCATGGGGCCGGGGGTGCCAATGACTTGCAAGGCTACTAGCATTTAGTGGGTAAGGTTATGAATCCTAAGTGACTTACAATGGAGGGAGCAATGCCAAGTGATGAAAGAATTATCCCACCCAAAATACCGGGAGCCACCTCACTGAGAAACACTGAATTATATTATCTCTGAGGTTCTTGCCAGCTTTAATAAGTCTATGATTCCCAAGTTCTAAGTATTCCATTTTCACCCATCCTCCCCCCTCTCTCTGTTCAATAAACATTTACTGAGTGTCTTTTATTGCCAGGCACTGTTCTATGCAGATGCTCATTAGAGGGAGGAAAACAAAAGTTCCCGCTCTCGTGGAACTGACGTTTTAGTGAGGAAGACAGATGACAGACACAGATACAAGAAATCTATGCTCTATTATCAGGTGGTGATCAGTGCTAGGGGAGAGGTAAAGCAGGGTGATGGGAAAGATAACGATGGGAGTGGGTGCTATTTTAGGTCGGAGGGTCAGGGAAAGCTCTTGCCAATAAGTGGGCACATGAGCAGAGATCTAAATGATGTGAGGGAGAAGCCATGTGGACATCTGGGGAATGAATATTCCAGAGAGAGTATGTGCAAAGCCCCCAAGGAGTGAGTAAGCCTGGGGTGTTTCTAGATCTACAGTAAGACCAACGTGGCTGGAACAGAAAGAGTACAGGGGAACGCTGGAGGAGAGGAGACCAGAGCAGTTGTGAGGCCCACATCTCAGAGCATCACTGCTCACAGTGCAGCGTCAGCCTCATCTGGGAGGTGGTTACACCCAGGCCTCCCCCAGCCCCGACCTGCTAAGTCAGAACCTGCCTGACCAAGGCCCCCAGGTGACTCTGGTGCACAATTAAGAGTGAAGAGAGCTGTGGAGGAACAGGGGGTGTCAACTCTGGCTACCTACGAAAATCACCAGGGGGATTTTTGAAATGCTGGTGCCTGGCCCCATCCTAGACTAATTAGGATTTTCTGGAGGTGGGTCCGAGTAACTATAGATTTTTTAAAAGCTTTTCTGGTAATTTAGATGTGCAGTCAGGGTCAGACCACTGGATCACACACACCACTGGTCACTAAGCAACCTTGCTGGAGATGGATGAGGCCCTGCAAGAGCACAGACACCTCTGCAGTGGTGTCGCCTGCCGGAGGCTCTGTCTCCCCCACTGGAGTGCCAACTCCTCAAAGGCAGGGCTGTGCCTCCTTCCTTGCTGTTTCCCCAGCCCCAGTGCAGACCTAGCATGGAAGACCTGTCTAGTGTGTAGTTGCTGACGGAAGAAATGAGTCAAGACATGAGTAAATGACTGTCGAGAACTCACCAGCCACTGGGAGCCCCACCAGTCACAAAGGATTCCCAGCTGGAGCTCTGGCAACTCCAGTCCCATCTGACACGGATGCTTCTGAGAGTGCCTCCTCTCCTCCCTCAGACAATGAACGGCTCTACCAACCACTAACAGTTTTGACTCCATCTTCTCCCCTCAGTGATTAGGATAACAGAAACCTAGGCTATTAAAGCAAGAGTGTCTTTAAAAGTCACCCACACACAGGCACACAGCACTTATGTAAATAAAGTGGGAATGGCAGGGCTGGGCCCAGCTGGCAGGTCTTCTGGCTCTCAGTCCAAAGTCCTGCTCACCAGCCCCTACTTGTTTCTTCACATTTGCTTCCTTTCCCTTAGTGGCTCCAAATGCCCACCCTCCTCACTTCCCAGTAATCCCCACCCTGCTCACTGTGGTCTCCTTCCCTCTTCATTTCTCACCTCCAGTACTGGATCTAAGCTGCATAGAGCCTGAAGCTGGTACAATTTTAGGAGCCCCTTTAAAGAAAAGACCACAGTATTAGAAACACAAAATCAGGTACAAAAGCAAATATTTCGAATAAGAAAAGAAATCGTAACAAATTATGAATTCTAAAAAGCAAATACTACAAGTGTCACACAATCCAGAAAAATACATTTGTATTCATTAAATTATTTAATAATAATTAATGATTATAATAACTATTTAGTAAAATGTTATTTATTTTTAATTAAAGAAATTGTCATACCCCTCTAATACTAAATTTATAACGACTAATTTTACACATTTGATGATTGGAAAAATTTCCATAGACTAGCTTCTGGCTCCATATTTCAAATCTGATTTTTCTCCACTACCCACACACTTCCGGTGCTGGGTGCCGTGAGTCCTGCTCACGCAGTGACATGACTTGGGCCTACACCACTGTGTCCCATCACAGGGTGAATGGACACAGAGGGCAGCAGAAGCATCCCTGGAAAGGCAGTCCTCCACCGGGGTGGCCAGCAAATTTAATTATATGTGGAAGTGACCACAACCAAACATGTATCCCACCAAACCCGAACTGTCTACACTCTCAACTCAAATTCCTTTAATTGGGTCTAAGAATCCCATGTGGCCACCTGAAAGCCACCTGACTTGACGGAAAGTGTGCTGGAGGGAAAGCTGTAGTGAAGAGTCAGCAATTTAAATGTCATCTGCACATTTTACAGATACTCATGACCACGTCAGGACATCATGGGCAGTCCTGCCAGGGCTTTGGAGGGGCCAGTGCGGCTGAGGGCCCTGAACCATAAGCCTCACCAGCTTCACAGGAAATCGTCACCTTCTTTGCCCAGAGAGAACACAGAAGCAAGCAATTTTAAATGCATGTGTATTAGTTTGCCGGGGCTGCCTTCAACAAAGTACCGCAGACTGGGTGGGTGGCTTAAACAATAAAAATGTACAGCCTCATAGCTCTGGAGGCTGGAAGCCCAAGATCAAGGTGTCTGCAGGGTTGGTTCCTTCTGAGGGCTGTGAGGGAAGGAGCTGTTCCAGGCTTGTAGATGACGTCCTCTCTGTGTCTCTTTATAGCATCTTCCCTCAAGGCATGCCTCTCTCCACAAACAAATTGTCCCCTTTTCATAAGGGCGCCCGTCATACTGGATTAAGACTCACTGTAATGACCTCGTTTTAACTCGATCAACCTCTGTAACCACCCCATCTCCAAATAAGGCCACATTCTGAAGTACTGGGCATTAGGACTCCCAACATATCATTTTGAGGGGATACAATTCAACCCACAACAGAATAAAAATGCAAATTAGTATGTGCATCTCTGCAGAAAATTGAAGGAGGGGGAGAGAAACCCAGAGAGACTCAAAGAGAGAGGGAGGGAGCTGTTATCTTGTTTACATTTTGCATTTAGAAAAATTACCTCATTAGCTGTCTGTCTGCATCCAGGCCCAGCTGCAACCACTAAATCAATCATTTGGAGATCTGTTTAGCTTTCTTGGACACCATAAATGGCACATTTTTGAATCTGTTTTGATTTCAGTGGCTGTCTCAAATGTCAGAAATGATGGAGATTGAGAGGCTAAAGTCTGAGGACAGAGAAGAACGGGCCTCATCCCACTGAAGAATGAAACTGAGATGCAGGGTGGGACAGGGAACAAGGACTGGTCCCCAGTCCTGGAGAAGCCTGTGAGAGTCACCCACTTTGTACCCAAAAGAGGCAGGTTAGGGACAAGCAAGTCCTATTGACACAGAAGGCAGTGAATCTAAGAAACTTAGCCCAAGAAGTGACATAGATGAAAATATCAATCCAAAAGGAGGTTACTGACATTACCGGAGAGCACAATCTTCTCCAGTTCGTTTCTGGGAGTCCTGAGAGATGCCTCCCAGGTGCTTGGAGCAGTTGGACACTGGAGAAGCTCTGCCCTTGTAGGAGGCTCCCACGGCCCTTCATGGAGCCCATTCTTGGACTTGGAATGCCAACTCCTGCTTCCTGAGGACCCAGGAACAATAAAAAAGCAGAAGCTAGCCATCACACCCCTGCACTGTCCCACCCTGTCCTATGTCCTTCTCCCTGCAACCAAAAACTCCTGGACCTACTGGTTCTTGCAAACTGAGCCCCAGAGGGAGCCCCAGGCCACCCCCTCGATTCAGCTGCACCCTGCGCTGCAGCCTAGGGGCTCAGCTGGAGATCCGGCACCAACAAAGAGGAAAGTAGTTAAGTAAGTGCCACATGAATATAACCCCTGTCAGCAATAAAATCAAAGGGCTCATTGGGAAAAGATGGAGACCAGGCTTGCAACTCTAAACGATCATTATTATAGCAAAACTCTGAAGAGTCCACTATGTCTACAGAATAGACACATAGTCTGTGTTTGCTTAGGCCAGGTTTGTAACCAACTGTACAGTGTGACCCATTGGTGAATCAGAAAATCAGTTTAATGAATTACAACCAATCTTTGAAAACAACAAAGTAAAGCAGGATAGAAAAGTCAAAGTACAGTGTACATCAGCTGTAGAGTGTGGAGAAACTTGTTTCTTTACATATCCATATGTGTGCATGGGGACAGAATGTGGATGTATTTCTTACTATGACTTGAGGTAGGAAAGGCTGAATGAAGTGGACTGATCCAGACTGTAGCCCTTAGGATAGTTTCACCTTTAAGCCCACGTGCAGCAGAACTAGCTGGGGAGTTCATTAAAATGCATATGTCCAGGTGCCACTCTCCAGATTTTCTGTTGAGGCCATATCGCATAGTGAGGCCTGGGAATATGCATTTAACAAGCTCCCCTGGAGGTTTTGATGCATTTTGTATGGGGAACATGAGATAAGAATTGCTGTAATAGAGGGAGAAAACTGTGTATTTGGCAGGACTGTGTTACAGGAAGCTTGAATGACATTGCAAGATGCTTGCTTCATCTTAACCCAGAGACTTGAGAAGTAGATGTCATAGGCTGGGGATATGGGGCAAGGGTGAGTGGAGTAATATCCATTCTCCATTTGTGGGGATAAATTCAGTATCTTGGGTACCAGTAGACTATGCTTGGTTGTAAACTGTGCTTACAGGATTCAGAGCCAGGCCTGCAAAAGTGCTAAACGCTTGCCCTGAATAAAATTATCTACTGAATATAATTGTCTACCTGGAGACCCTGACGGCTTTAGGGTAAGCCTTTTGTAAGACATAGTTCTGTCCTGGGTGACATCTTGAGATTACTTCTCATCTCTTATATGTCATGATCCTAAAAGCAACAGGATAGAGGGAGAGGCTGGAAGACAGACTGGCTCCAACCCATCTGCCATTGATTAGAATGGCACTTTTCAAACTGTGGCTTATGACTCACTGATGAGTCACGGAATCAATTGAACATTTTGAAAAATAAAACAGAATTGAATGCAGTAGAAAATACCATGGCACACTGCATGTAATTAGTATGTGTAGTTAGCCCTTGTTGCTTAGAAAACCCAACTCAAAACTTGGTGGGCTTCAAACAACAGCATTTATTTACTCATAATTCTGAAATCTGGGCAGAGCCCAGTGAAGAGAGCTCATCTACGCTCCATGGGCATCTGTTGCCGTGGCTCAACTGGGACTGGAGGACCCACTTCCAAGATGCCTCGTTTCTGTGGCTGGTTGTCAGCTGGGAGCCCAGTTAGGGCCTCAGCGTTCCAACCAGTGGCCTCTCTGTATGGCTAGTTTGGGCTTCCGCAGTCTGACTTCTGGGTTCCAAGAAGGGTACATCCCAAGAGCACACTTCCCAGAGGACAAGCCCCAGAGTGCTTATCCCTTTGTATCACCCTTGCTAATGTCTTGCTGGTTGAAGCCAGTAGCCTGGCCAATCTCAGAGTCACTGTAGGAGGGGACTACACAGGACACGAATACCAGTAAATGTGGCTCATAGGGGGCCAGAAAGGTTAAGCGTTAGTTCCTGAGAAACAAACAAACAAAAAACTATTTTTTTCCATTTATGTTTGTGTATAAGTAGTGAGCAGCAATGGAAAATATATTCCTAATGGTTAATCACACTTGAAACAGTTTGAGAAACACCACCACAGAGAGCCTGGGAATACAAGTAGGAGACAAATTTACCTGATACCAATTAGCTTCTCTTTCCCAGATACTGCTCTGTGTATTTACCCTTTTGTCCATTCTTCTAATACTTTCCCCCTTTTTTCCTTCCCTGTTTCTTTCTTTTGTTTCTCTTTCTCCCCTTATCGCTTTCCTTCCCAGTCTTAGTATCTCTGCCACTGAATCATTTTTTATACCTTATCGTTCACATTCAAACATCTTCACTTTCAAACACATGTACCTTAATATAAGCTGAGGTCCCATGTGACCCATTTTCTGCACAGCATCACATATAAATGAGCACAGCTCAGTAGCCAAAAGTAATTTTACATTTATGTCAATTTTCCCTGCATCTCTTAAAGAACAGTAATAGGGGATCCAATTTAAATTCCAGAGACATACTGTGAAATCCCTCTCTCCTCCCAGTTCCCACCTGGCAGCTGCTCTGGAGTCTCCCACTTGCCAAACCCACAAAACTTTCAACATGCAGCACAGAAGGCCTTCCCCAACCACTCCACCTCCCCTTACTCCCTCTTCTTAATGTAGAGCAGCTTAGCCCCTGGTTCCAACACTCTCTCCCTGGTATCTTGATTCTGTGTCACAAAGGATCAAAAATCTAGATTGAAAAAACAATGCAGAGAGAGGAGGAAAGACAGAATCTGAAAGGGCAAAAAAAAAAATTCTCTTTAGTTACAACTACTTGAATTGTTATAAATTTCACCCCAGTTATATACACAAAATAGTGTCTCAGAAAGAGTCCTGAAGAGACTAAGAAGAAATTGATTTTAGTGCTGGCTCTGCTGCTAATGAAATGCACAGCCTTGGACAAATCATTCAGCTTCTCAGCCCCAAGCCCCATGATCTACGTGGTAATAATACCTATTTCTGAGGGTGGTTGTGAGGACTAGCCAAGCTTCTTGCCTGGAACACGGCTGGCAAGCAAAAAGGTTAATTCCCCT